ATGATACCTTACAAGTAAAAATAGGAAAACACTATATCAAACTTTGGTTTGTTTTATGTGACAAGCCAAACTTTAAGTCAATAAATCCCATTTGGTGGAATTACAGCCAAAGGAGAAAGAAGTAAATAACAGTGTGAACTCAGTTTAATTGCAGACTTGTGTAATTTTAGATTTTAAAATGCATCTCAGCTGATGTCATTTCATAGCATGAGGATGGATTGTTAGTGTTCAGCCCACAGATGATGGCTCGTCTTCCAGGCTTATCCTCCTCTCATTTCATAGAGGCTGTGACACAAACCTATTTACTCAAACCTTCCATTATATACAGCAGTGTCTTGACATGATCCGTTTTGAAAGTGAGCTAATGAGATACTCAAGCTTATCTTATTATTCTAAAGTATAAAATAATACAAACAATGAAGACCATTAGATATGGAACAGCATTTTTATACAAATAAAATTTAAAACAGATTCTCACTTGTACAGAAAGACTACCTACTCAATTTATCTGCATATGACTGCTTTGCTTTTACATTTTCCTTAAAAATTTTAGTCAAGACTGCACTAATTTACTTTACCAAATACATTGATGATAATCTTCCTCTTAAAATGTCATAATTATTTCTTCCTTTCTTTTTTAAAAAATTGTTTTTATTAATTTTAGAGGGGGGGGGGGAGACAACAATGTGAAAGAGAAACATCAATTGGTTGCCTCTCCACCAGGACCGAATCTACAGCCGGACATGTGCTCGGACCGGGAATTGAACCGGCAACTCTTCAGTGCCCAGAACTATGCTCAACTGAGTCACACTGGCCACTGCACCTTTTTTCTTTCAAACCATTAATAGAAGGCAAATATACTAAAATTTAAGCCAGAAATTCACTTATAGGCAAACATTTTAAGCATTATTTCTGCTGTGACCAAAGAAATACCTTGGTCTCTATTCATATTTATAAAAAATGTGTATCATTATCTCTGATTAATTTCTTTTACCTTTTGACTTCTAGCTATTGCTACCAAACATCACCTCATTTGTTTATTGACATTAATGTACTGCTAGAGAACTACGCTCCAAGTATAAAATGATAGATGCTAAAATAGTGTTTTGGCAATAGCTAATATTCTGTTAAGGGTCCATGACAAAATTTTCATAGTGGCTAAAAAAAACCAGTGCTCTTCTGAAGTACCAATATTAAATGTACTAAAGGGGATTGGGGGACTAGGTGAAGCACTGATAAATGTGTGTAAATGGCTTTGAAAATGACTGTCATTAATAGCATTCTCTTAATACCTTAAGTAGAAAATGAAAAGCCAAACATTTATTATTAATATATATGGTAACCAAATGTAATTTTTATTGACTTCCTGGTTAGTATTATTATACTTGCAAATATGAGTTTTTGGTAATTAATTCCTGGAAAGCACCAAAAAGAATAAAAATACTTCCGCAAATGCTTTGTTATACATTGGCTCAAAGCTAATCACTCCAAAGGGAAGGGAGAATATTAACTGTCTAAATGTATATATTTTAGGGTCTTATTTCAAGCAGTTTAAATTGAGAGGATCCTGTAATTATACTCACAGAGTTAGGGGCATGTTGTTATCTATTACTAGCCACTGGGAAGATCATTTATCTTACCAAAATGCTGAGGTAAAAGAATTATAAAAAAACTAAGTCAGTTGACAATGCTAGTAACAATGGGTCATCTGGCTTCAAATTTTAATGGATAGTCTGTATGTTCTCTCTTGTTAAGGAAATCCTGGTACAATGTTGGTGGGAATGTAAACTGGTACAGCCATTATGAAAAACATTATGGAGGTTCCTCAAAAAATTAAAAAGAAAATACCATATGATCCAGCAATCGCACTTTTGGGCATACATATATAAAAAGAAATTAGGATCTCAAAGAGACATCTACCCTCCCACTTCAGACATTTAGTTATGTAAACAACCTAAATGTCAGTCAACAGATGAATGGATAAAGAAAATGTGGTATGTGTCTGTGTATGTGTGTGTGTGAATACCATTATATATACCATTATAATGGATTATTACTCAGCCTTAAAAAGGAGGAAATACTAACATTTGCAACAATATGAAAGAGCCTTGAGAACACTGTGCTAAGTGAAATATGCCAGACACAGAAAGACAAAGTGTGATCTCAATTATATGTGTAATCTGAAATAGTCACATGCATAGAAGCAGAGTACAATGGTGGTTACCAGAAACTGAGGGAGGGGAAAATGGGGAGATGTTGATCAAAAGGTACAAAGTTTAAAAAAAAAAAAAAGAGACATATGTAATACTCTTTGTAATACTTTAAGCAAGAAAAAAAAGAAAAAAAAAGGTACAAAGTTTCAGTTATGCAAAATGAATAAGTTCTGGAATTCTAATGCATAACAATGTGGCTATAGTTAACAATACTTTATTGTATTGAAATTTGTTAAGAAGGTAGATCTTAAGTGTCACTACAAAAAAAAAAAGTGATATCTATCTGAAGAGGTAAATGTTAACTAGCTTGAATGTGGTGATTATTTCATAATGTAAATGTATATTAAATAATCAAGTTTTATACCTTAATATATACATTAATAGAAATGTATACAATATATACAATTATCAAATATATTTCATAAAAATGTCAAAACTCTTATGTTATGGTAACAAGTTTGGTTTTTCTCTAAGTCAATAAAACACTGTACTTCATTTTAAAATCTGAATGGTAAAATGAGAAAGATAAAGGCTGAGAACAGGTTTGAATATGGTTTATAAAATTAGGAGTGGACAAACATGGGTTTACTAATTGATTTGAAAATATCTTAGAACAGGAGTTACAAATTCATTCCACAAACCAAACCCAGACTACCCCTTAAATATGTTTTTTTTTAAATTTTCTAATGGCAAAAAAAAAAAATCAAATAAAAGGAAGATTATTTTGTGATACATGAAAATTATATGAAATTCAACTTTTCGTGTCCATAAGAAAATAGACCTTTATTGGACCCTGGGCACACTCATTCATGTATTGTCTATGGTTGCTTCCACACTATAATGGCAGAGCTGAGTAACTGCAACAGAGACCTACATGGTGCTCTCATTGCTTTGCATTGCTACCTAGCACATTACAAATTATAGAGATGTAGTTTATAACTACTAGCATTTTGAATGGCACATAGATTGTCATACCACAACATTTTAAAGTTTTCAGTACATACCAATAATGTCAGAATATGAGAGAGAGAACTTCAAGTGTCATGTGTTTAAGGCACAGTGAACAATGGATTATTTTGTTATTGAATTAGATGGCAAAGCATTGTTTAACATGCAGTGACACTGTAGCTGTTTTGAGATATATATATGAATTACCAAACTAAGTATTCTCAATTTATAGAATGCAGTGACCAGAGAAATTAGAAAATTAAAACAAGGTATCTCATCACAGCAGAATTTATTTACAAAAATGAAAATAAAGCTGTAAAGTAAGTTTTGGAGTGGCTCATTTGTTAGTCAAGCAAAGAAAGCCTTTTCACCAACAGTGAGTTCATTACGTTATTTTTGATTCATCAGCTGAAGAGATGTATCCAAAATAAACTTGCTTAAGACTATTAGCTGTTTGTCAAGAACAGTTGCTTGAAAGAATTGAGAACACTGGGAACATCAATGTAGTCAATAAAAACAAACAAGGCAAATCAAGTGATTCTGAGTGGTTTCCCATGGTTCTTGATGAATCAAAGATGTTACTGATACTGCCTAGTTATTGTTGTTTATTTGATAAGTCAATGCCAAGGTTGAAGTGTCTGAAGAGTTAGTGTCCATGAGTACTATGTGTGGAATAATTAAAGGCAAGAATATTTTCTAAGAAGTTAAGAAAGATTTCAGGACAATCTGAAGAACTTGCTAAGATGTGTTAGAACTGGTGATGATAAAAGTATGTGTGGAGCAAAAAGAAGACTTAGTTGGTCAAATTTACAAAGCTTGTAAAAATATAAAGTGTTAAAATCCATGGTTATTTATGTATTATTCATCAGCAGGTACTTTGTGGAATATATCTGACTCAATCTTTTGTTATTGAACTAGTATTGTCATCTAGCAATTTGCTGGCTTAGCAGTGGTAGTTTTACTGTTTTTGAGCTCAGAGCTGATATTGAAATTTTTCTGAAGAAGAAATACCCTCAACCACTATTCTGAAACACTAAAGGGCTTTGGAATTTAGCTTTTGTTGCAGACTTGACAAATGCTTTTTCATGAATTCAACCCAAAATTATTTAACCAGTTCAGCATAATGAGAACAGTTGTCCCCACTGTATGTGGGATTCACTGGGATTCAAGGAAAGTCTCCAGACTCAAGGAAAGTTCTAGAGCCGTGATTCTCAAAAGGGAGTCCTCAGACCACCACCACCAGCAGCCACACCTGTCTGACTACTTATTAGAATCGCAGATTCTACTGAATGGAAAGCTCTGGGAGTGGAGTTAAACAGTGTTTATATAGGAAACATACTTATGCAATTCTGATGACAACTACATTGTTTGAATTATGAAGTAACATCAAGCTTATCTTATCAAAAGGTAAGATAATAAGCGAGCTCTCTGTTTTCACATAAATCTGCAACAGATTTTCTAAGCTCAAACTATAGGTCCAAGTGGATTTTTTTGGACCCTAATGCAAGTATAAAGGAAATTTCCATTTCCCAATAACCATTCAGTTGTGCAATCGAGGAGCCTCCACCTAACATTCAATTGGAAGTGATTAATCTGCAATGTAATAACATGCTAAAAGAAAATTATCAGGAGAAGAAGGAATGTAATAGAATTCCATCAATGCCTTCCAAGTGATAAATATGCTAAATGAGAATCATATTCTTCTCATGAATTAACATATGTATTTGGCAATACCTATCTGTATTTCATGATATTTCATATTTTTCTTTAAAACCTACAAATGTCTTAATGGGTTAAGACATTTCCACCATTATAAAAACCACACAACACAAAACAAAATCAATTCTAACATACAACCCCACAAAAGCACACTGATTTTATTATAGAACATACATTAAGTCACTGAGTAAAGCTCTTTTTTATGAACACGTTTGGAAAGCTCCCATTGAACTCGAGCACAGCTCTATTGTCAATTTGAGAGCAGAAGGACACATCAAGTAGAGAAAGATCTTTGCATGATTCCAGGAGTTTTCTTAAGGACATCGGACTTACCATTCTTGTTCCTGTTCAAAAAAACAAAACCACATAAAATACTTTAAAAAGAATATTTATATAATGTTCTAATAAAGAGTCCCTTTATTACTGATTGTTTAAAATACACTTCAAATAAATTGCCTTTTAAAAATTAAAAGCATTTCTTAAAAGACTTATAGTCCTGTAAACAAATATGCACTGAATTTTCCCAGCCAATTTGGCATCTCCTGTCAATACTTCACCCACTATCTGCATTCCCACCTCCTGCCCCTTCTAATCAGCTCCTCCAGACTTTCCTATTTCTGTCGCCCCAGTTCAAAACCATTTGAATCTCTTTTTCTTAATCCATGGCAGCTCTGCTTACAACCTCTAATTAGATTCAACCTCTAATTCCATGCAATGCAATTACTGAATAACTACCCTGTAGAAACTTGTTTCAAGCACTGGAGATTCAAGAAACCCAGTGACCAGGGTTGAAGGCTATTAACTACAACACAACTTGATAAGTTTATGGCAAGTGGTGGGTGTAAAATGGCAGTACTGGAAGACAGATGATGGATGATGAGTACTAGTTAGCCCTTGTTAAAGTTGAAGTAATTATGGGATATTCAGATGGAAGCTAAATTATCACTAGGCTATAAGATGTCATCTGTTGGAACATACCTTTCTTTAACTACAGCTTTACTAGGGGAAAAATATCACAATTATATTACATAATACATCTACTGGGATGGGGATTAAAGTTTCTGAAATGTTAACCCATGACTTTTTTCTGAGAACTCCTTTCTCCTCCCATCCCTGACATGAGCTGTGGAAGCTGTAACTACAACTGCTACCCAGGATGCGACTGGCCCCTCACCAAACCAATACAGATTCTCCTGAAAATTTATCATTGGAATTCAGTAAAGCCTTCAGTGTCCATATATCCTTCAAACTAAAGACATGGACAACTGGGTTGGGTCTGTTATATTTGGCCATGTCTACTTAGAGAAGCAGAGATAACATGCATGACGAAAAACAAGGCAGACCAAACGAGAACCAGACATAAAGACGGTGAGCATACAGCTGCAGAGGCAGGGCTCGGGGGCAGGACAAAGGGAGGGAAAACAGAAAATAGCTTCTGTGCTTTTTGATGGTTTTCCAGTCCCTTCTGAGGATGGACCATAGCCAGCTCCTACTGATGCTGGACTTACCATTGCATGATTCTGAGGGAGATGGGATCTGAGGGAGACACCTGTATCTTCATAATAATTTTTTCTTATGCTTAAGTTATCTTGAGTAGGTTTCTGTTATGTAAGACCAGAGAACGTCAACTAAGACACTTGGCTATGTGGTTTTTGGTTTTGTTTTGTTTTTACCTAGGATCATGATTATTTTATCTTTGCCAGTCTTGGTCATTACAATCTGAGTTTCCTGATAAGTTAGAAGTTCCTAAGAGAATGCCAGGGAAGGAAGTTGGAGAGTGAAGATGTAACTAGGCTGGAGTCCCCATCCTAGGTTTCCAAAGCACTTCCTATCAAACCAAGTAGTCTTATCAGGATAAAATTTTTATTGTATCCAAGTTTTATGTTTTTTGGTGTGTGTTCTTTTTTTGCAAAAAGTCTGAGATCAGCTCTAATGTCAAGGCTTTAAAACAAACTGATATACTGCATCCTTACCTAGTATGTCCAGTTGCCGTAATCTGGTACAATTACATGCCAGTTCCTCAATGTCTGTGTCACACACAGACCTGTTGGCCGTAAGAAAGAGTTTTTGCAAGTTTGGGAGGTGGCGTGCCAGTTTGGCAAAGCACCCGGTGCTGCTCTGCAGCGTAGGACACCAACCGAGGTCAAGTTCCTCCAGGAGTGGACACCCAGATGCCAGCTCTGCTATCCCATTCTCAGTGATGTTCTTGCAACGCCACAGATCCAGGGTGCGCAGTTTTTTACACTTGGCCCCTATCATGCTGGCGATCACATCATAGTCTTCAATCTGGAAGTCAAATAATTCCCATCTTTTACATATTATGCTCAGAAATACGAACAGTTTAGAGAACAAGTTAAAACATTCTTAATCATCCCCTGTTGTTTGCTTCCATGTAAACATACCCACATTCTCATTAATATAGATCTGCCCACTCATCTCACAGACCTGCCACTGTTTCATAAGACAGCAAGAGTAATCACTTACTTAAACATCTATTTAACAGAACTCCAGACAGAGGACGTTAATGAATGAAATCCCAAAGACTTGAAATCCTCAGTCTCTCCTTAAGAACTTGACGATTCTGAGCTGCTCCTGTATGCCTCCCAGTTTGATCTTGCTGCTGCTACTCACTGACAAGGTCTAGCTTCTTATATTTTAGATATAATTAATCAACTCTGGGAGATACATAAGATCTCCCTGATAAAGGTGTACACTTTACTAGGCTCTAAAACAGTATGTGAATATGCTGTTAGTACTAATAAGGATATTAGTTTTGGGTGAAAGTAGACATTTGGGGACTGAATATACAACACACACAAAATTTAGATTATGTATGTTCATTACTGTCATCTATAGGAGGTATCCAATGACTTAGCTCAAGGTCACAGGATAAGCCTCTACTAACCAAGGATTAAACATTTAAGTTCACGGGCTTTACATGCTTTAATAATGTTTTTAAAAATAGGTGCTTAAATTTTAAGAGGTTCATTTGATTTTGTAATCAGGTATCAAAATTGTCACCAGAAGTCAAAAGGAAACAAAATAACAAACACTCAGATAATTTCCTTTTGTTTATTTGTTAATCATACTCTCCATTACTACTCGCCAGCACCACTCCAGATGCTAGGAACAACAGTGAGCCAACAAACACTGTGTTCACATTTTTAGGAAAGACATACAAATAATGAGCAAAATAAACTCAGAGAGCGGTAAGTGACATGAAGGTAGTAAAGAGTGGGGAGTGAGAGCAATCGGAGAGTCAGGAGTTAGCTGAGGGAGGGCGAGATGCTGCTGTGATCTCCAGGGTGAGCGCAGTGCATTCCAGGGACAGGAATGAGATCAGCGTGGGCCTGGGGAGTGCAGGACAGGACAGGCTGGGAGGACAGAGAGTTATGCTGGGGCCAGGCCATTAGGCCATGAAGGCATTTGATTTTTATTTTAAGTGCTAAGAAAATCAATGAAGGGTTAGAAACAAATGTGATTTATATGAAAACAAACAAAAATCCCTCTTTATTCTATCTGAAAGAGAGCCTATGGTGGGTAAGAATGGGGGAGGAGGCCCAGTGAAAAAGCCCGCACCAGCTTAGAGGAGAGATGACAGGGGTTTGGGATAAGGAAGTAACAGAAGAACTGGAGAAGTAGACAGATTTGGGGCTATATTTTGAGTCAGAATCTAAGGCTTATGGACTAGATATAGTGGTGATAGTCTCTGGTCTTTAGCAACTGCATATGGTAGAGTCATGCAGAAGCCATGAGAAACAGATTGGGGAGGATATAACTACTCACATCAGTGAGTGTACCTGAATAACAGAGACCTGTAGTGCAGCCAATTTGCTTCTTTAGAAAGAAACATTCAAAACTTTCTGAAACCCATGATTCTGATTGCTATTATTTTGATAGTCAGAAATAAAATAGCAAGCTAACCTTTTGGTCAATTGACAGAAAAGAAACTGAGATAAACATAGTATTAAAGTATCAACAAAGAGTTATCTCTGTTGTTGTCCTGGTAAACTTTGGACCTGCTGTGAAGTAAGAACTATGGCAGGCATGAAATATTTTGATTAGGATGGTAGTAGCAATATTAGCATTATTTCTGAACTTTAATGTCAAGTCCTTAATATTTAATTTCCTGACAACAAATATCAATGGTAACAATATTTTATTAGTAATTACATGCTTTAAATTAAAAGTAGCTTATTTTTCTAAAAGAGCATTTACCATAGTGTATTACATATTAATAGGAGGAAAATCTAATGCTGAATTAGTGGGCTCACAACACCGTATCCAGAGACCAGGGTGGGCCTGAGCCCATACTTAGACTTTAATCAGGCCTAACCACCAGAATTTAAAACTACAGGGACATGGAGACTAATATGTCATTTTAATTGGCCTCTCCAGCCTACATTGCCAAACCTTGAGGCATCTCTGAAGCCACTACTGAGCTCTAAAAGATGTTCAATGGGATCTATTTTCTGGTCAGCGACTGTCCCTGTTGATTCCAAGTCTAGGAACCTCTCTGGAATCTTGCAACCATCCTGCTTATTCTGATCTTCCTAATAAGTGGATGCAAAACTGAAATAGTTGGGGATCCTCTAAATCTGCCTTGAAGAGGAATGGACTGCTTACAACTATACTGGGAGATGCATTTCCTGGAAATGTGAGCATACATGCATAACACACACACACATAATGAAGAATTCTACAGTCCCTTGAGTGTCAATATTATTTATAAGTCACGTAAGTTAGATGAAAAAGACTTAACTCATCCCATGAGCTCTTTCAATGACCCCTAAAGTACTAATTTTAAATCTGGAAGGACTGTAGAGGCTATCTAGTCATATAGTCCCTAGGCTTTTGGATTTCATGGACCAGTAAAATAATAATAATAATAATAATAATAATAATATAATAATAATAATAATAAATACCTGAGTTCTAACACAGAATATCCACCTTTTTGCCTTACTCAGTAAGGCCAGTAAAACAAACAAACAAAACACAAAATAAACCTATCTACTATCATCAACATTTCCAGAAATAATCTCAGAACTTAAAAAATTAATTAAGCTTTGTGAAAAACTCACTCAACTACTGACATTTGAGTATGATTGATCACTTATTTTATAAAGAAACCAGAGAAGCAGATAACTTGTCTACATCTCACTTGAGGCAGAACCAAACTCTTTCTGCCACACCATACTTCTCTTCTTGCTCTCCTGGTTAAATAATGTCAACATTTCAAAGATACACTCTCCACTTTAAGAAAAATGTTTGAAAGTGGGGTTCAACTGTAAATCAGAAAAGCTGTGGGTGGGGTTGGGGTGGGATGAGTCAGGAAAAAATTCACCGAAGGGAATAAAAAGAGAATGAGCAACTGAGAATAACGAATTTTCAAATACTTACCATTACACAACTACCCAAACTGAGGTGTTGAAGCTCTGAGCAGAAGTTCAAAATGCTGAGCAGGGCTGTTTGCTGCCCCAGGGACCACATCAGAAGCAAACACAGAAAGTGAAAGAAAGTGAAACAAAGAGAAGAGGTCAATTAGACATTAAAGGCTGTCACTACTTCTCCTGAAACAGAGCTCAAAATCCAGGTTACAGACACCACAAATGCCATTTAATGAGTCCCCAGGTGCTCCCACCATTGATTGGCTGGGAGTCAAGGTAATCATTACCAGTCTCCAAGTAAGTTGTCACTTTGCATGTGGTTTTGCATGCCCTAAAGATACCTATATTCCCCATGACCTCTCATTTTATTTCCCAAACGTAAGCAATTTGAAAATCTGGTTAAGGCTGAACAACAAGACAAGCTAAACAACCTCCCCCTCCAAAAACAAACAAATAAAAAAAAAAAACCACAGTGGGCTGGTGACACGCTGAGGAACAGTGGCAGCTCTGACATTCACCGATCAGCAGCAGCCTGATGGAACTGCCAATCGTTGCCCGAAATCAGGATTGAGCTGGTGACTTTAATGTCAAAGGATTCTCTCCGCTGACAAGGATCCCAACACCATTGAACACCTGTCACTAGCAACATGCTGACTGAAACATATATAACGTGCACTTTCTATTTATGTTCCTGCCATTTCAGCCCATCTATCCTGTGCAATGTAATGAAACGCTCTCATCACTCAAGAAAGCCAAAGAAATGCTAGGCTGTGACATAATCCTGATAACTAAAATATTTCTAAAGTCATAACTTCATTTGATGACATGTCTGCCATGAAAACTTGTAAAAAAATGCAGAACATTCACATTTCTAATTTTTATATTCTAAATGAAGAAAAAGGCTACTCCAACTTTGTGGCAAAATTTCTTTCTACATATTTGAACTAAAACATATCTAAGAAAGTTAAGATACTATAAAACCTATGTTTAATCTGTTGCAGGTGTCCAGAATCTGAACAATATTAGTTAGGGAGAGGTTGACAAATATGTCAATGACAATACAAAACATCTGTTCAAACCCAGATAAGATTCTCAATAAGAAAATAAAGTAATGAAATATTTCAGATAAAATAAATGTAAGGCAAAAATAAAAATAATCCTAGTTATAATCGGCCCTAGAGAGATACTAGCCTTAAGACTGGTTCACTACTGGGTGTTTCTTTAAATTTAAGAAAACAGTTTATATTGATTTCATGCTTAAGTTTTAATACAACTTATAACACTTATAAAAGGCAATCCCATGTAGCTCTCAGAATGTTGGCATTAGAAGAGATATATGAAGATAAGTTAATTTTCAGATTCTCCATAATACTTAACTATTTTAACTTATTAATAGATGGGGAAATGACATGGTTTGTTTTTATTAAAGTATCAGATCCTTACAACAAGATGCTTTGTAAGATTTTCCCATGAGCAAGATCCAGAATATATTAGAGAATTTTTAGAGAAGATTCCATATATTCTTGTAAGAAATTTTAAATTAACACAAACACACACACACTTTATCATAGAATTTGTTTGGTAATGTATTTTTAAATTACTTACTACAAATAATTTCAAATATACAGACAAGTATAGAGTCCATAAAACAAACATTTGTTTTGCCTTCTTGGCTTATCTTTCTCTATTTGTGTATCTCTCCATCCATTCGTATACTTCCTCAGAGGTAACCTTTATCAGGATTCATTGTTTAAAAACATGCCTGAAGATTATATTTTATTATACAGTATGTGTCCATAAATAGCATATAATATTGTTCTCCATGGTTTTTATACAAATGGTATTTTATTATGCATGTACTTCTGCATCCTCCTTAACAGTGTTTGTGAGGGATTTGTCCATGTTGAAACTTGCAGCATTAGTTCTGACTTTTTAATTGTCTACTATTCCATTATGCAAATATACTACAGCATAGCCCTAGCTGGTTTGACTCAGTGGATAGAGCATCGGCCTGTGGACTGAAGGATCCCAGGTTCGATTCCATCAAGGGCACATGCCTGGGCTGTGGGCTCAATCCCCAGTAGGGGGCGTGCAGAAGGCAGCCAATCAATGATTCTCTCTCATCATTGATGTTTCTATCTCTCCATCTCCCTTCCTCACTGAAATCAATAAAAATATATTAAATATATATATTTGTTATATATTTATATTAAATTACATATATATATACTACAGCATACACTTTCACTCAAGGAATATTTAGTTTGCTTACAAGTTCTACCATAACAAAGAATGTTAGAATAAACATTCTTATAGTGCTTCCTGTGCATTTATAGAAGAGTATTTCACTAGAGCACATACTAGAGGAAGAATTTCCAGGGGTTTATGTATGGCCGACGTTATTAGGTTTTCCAAAATAACACTCTGAAGTGATTGTATTAATTAACACTCCACCAGCTGTGTAAGAGTGTGGGGTCCCCACATTTCTGCCAACATATAGTCTTCTCATTCTTTTCTATTATCTGTCTGATGAGTATGGAATGGTATAATTTGCATTAGTATAATTCCTAGTGAGTTTGAAAATCTTTTCATGTTTATGCACCAGTCATATTTCCTCTTCTGTAAACTGCATAATCATATTTTTTTTATCGTCTGAAGTTTTATGTATGTCTCCTTTTTCCCCAATTGACTCGCCCCCGCCCCCACCCCCCCGCCATTCCTTAATCATATTCTTTACTGATGTTTCCATTAGGTCAGTGGTTCTCAACCTTCTGGCCCTTTAAATACAGTTCCTCATGTGACCCAACCATAAAATTATTTTCGTTGCTACTTCATAACTGTAATGTTGCTACTGTTATGAATCGTAATGTAAATATCTGATATGCAGGATGGTCTTAGGCGACCCCTGTGAAAGGGTCGTTCGACCGCCAAGGGGTCGCGACCCACAGGTTGAGAACCGCTGCATTAGGTTGTTTCTTCCTTCTTGACTTACAGGAATTCTTTTTTTTATGCTGAATACCAATCTTTGTCAGTTACATGCATTACAAATATATTCCCTAAATCTAAGACTTGTCTTTTTGCTTTGTTTATAGAATCTTCTGAGACATGAAATTTTAAATTTTAATAGTCACATCTATCTTTACATGTGTATTCTGTTGTCTTTTCAAAAAAGTCCCTCTTTGCCCACAGAAGGATATTCTTCTATTATTATTTTTTGAATGACAACTTTAAAATTTTTCTTCTTTGCACTTAGGTTTTAACCCAACTGAAATTGATTTTTATACATGGTAAGGTACCAAATTTCATGCTTTTCTCCTTAGAAATAACCTCTTGTCCCAGTTAAATTTACTGAAGAGTCTATCTTAGTCACTGATTCGTGATGCTTTCTGTCATATATCAAGTTCCCTTGTATGTGTGAGTCTACTTCTGGGTCATTGTGTTTCACTGGTCTACTTGCCTTTTCCGACGCTAACACTTCAGTCTTTTTTTTTTTTTTTAATATATTTTATTGATTTTTTACAGAGAGGAAGGGAGAGAGATAGAGAGTCAGAAACATTGATGAGAGAGAAACATCGATCAGCTGCCTCTGGCACATCTCCCACTAGGGATGTGCCCGCAACCCAGGTACATGCCCTTGACCGGAATCGAACCTGGGACCCTTCAATCCGCAGGCCGACGCTCTATCCACTGAGCCAAACCGGTTTCGGCAGCACTTCAGTCTTAATTATTATACACGCAGGCAGGTGAAGGAAGGCCCACGAAGAGAGAAACAGAGGCCTCTGGCCAACAGCTCTAAGAGGAACTCTGCCAACAGCCACATGTAGTAAGTCTATAAATCTATTAAGGAGAATACCCTTTCTTCATTCTGTAAAACACTAAAGAGCCTTTTGCTCTTTCATATTTTAGAATCATCTTAAAATATTTTAGTTTACCTTTTAAAAATATGAAAGGTTCGTTTTTCTTTCTTCCCCCACGATCATTATTTAATTTACTGGCACTTTATCAATTTCTGTGTCATTATCATTTATTATATCTGACACCCTCTTCCTGAAATGTTCTTGTTGAAAACTATTTTTAATAGTTCTTTTAGTGAGCATCCATGAGTGGTAAAATCTTAACAATAAACATTTACTGAATAGTTATTAACATGTCAGCATTGCTGTAAATTCTTTTTCTTAAAATATTCTTTAAATGGTTGACAGTATTACAGATATCTCCCATTTCCCCCCCTTTACCCCCCTCTGTCCAGCCCCTACCCCCTGCCCCCAGGGCTTCATCACCCTAATGTCGGTGTCCATGGGCAGTGCATATAAATATATTTGGTTTATCTCTCCTCATCCCCCCACCCCTACATCAAGGTATGCCTCCCTGCCTCAGGTCTTATTTTGCTTGTCAATTCATTTTGTTCATTAAATTCCACAAAAAAGTAATATTAGGTGATATTTGTCTTTCTCTGATTGGTGCTACAGATTCTTTATATAAATTAATCCTCACAACACCTGTTCATTTAATAAATATTTATTGAATGCCTACTATGTGTTAAGTGCTGTTCTGGCACTTGGGATATATCAGTCTACATGGCAGAAAATAACCTATAAGGTACACATCATTATTCTATTTATAGATAAGGAATCTGAATCACAGAAAGTTAAATAATATATTGAGCCTTTATATATCTCCTCAATCTTGAATGAAAGTTTAGCCAGGCGTAACATGGATTCCAGTTATCTTCTTTCATCATTTTGAAAGTTTTGCTCCATTACCTATCAGCCTCCATTATTTTGATAAGAAGTCTACTGTCAGTCTAATTATCTTCCTCTGTAAGTAATGTCTTTTCTCTCTGATAGCTCTTGTCCCTTTCTCATTTATATTCTGCAATTCCATCACATGTCTAGGTAAAAATTTATTTAATTTATCCTGTTTGGTATCCCAAGTGAACATTTATTTGAAGACTTACATCTTTTTTCATAAACAATCAAGATTCTTAACAATTCTCTCTTCAAATATGGCTTCTCCATCATTTCTTCCATTTTTTTCTTCTGGAACTCTAATTAAATGAATTTTGGAGTCTCCCAAGTATCAGTG